AATTTTGTAATTGGACTTTCAAATAGTGTTATAACCTTCTCTAGATTTTCTCCTAAAAATTTTCCTGGTGTTGACTAACAGCAAGAAGTGAATTGGATGTCCTTTCGGGCTCATTAACGACGAAGAAAACCAAGTGCATTTATTCAAATTGTACCAGCAAATCCTTTCTTCACTTTTCACATGGGATGCAGCATTGTATAAGCTTTGGTTTGTACCTGATACTTCCCACACTTACCTCAATGCTGTTCTTGTGCAAAGACAGCCTCTTTAATGGGTGTTAAGCCATCAGTCTAGTAATCAGATATTGCCCTGATTTCCAGATAAAGACATTTTTACCACTTCATGTTACTTCTGGACTGCTCATGTGTGTTTGTGAACCAGCCGAGCAGACAAGTTCTGATTAAGGTACAAAGTTTAGGAGTCAAGCATTTTGTCTCCATGCTATGGGATGACACTTCCCAAGGAAGCAGCGTGTACTGAGAGCTGCAGGTATGGGGTGGAGAGGAACTGCTCAGGATACAGTCCCAGCCTGCCTACCTCATGAAAAATTTTAACTCTTTTCACTATTATGACTTATTGCTGACAATTTGTTCTGTTTTGGTTGTTTATTTTTTTTTAAGAATGGTATGCATAAATTTCTCAAAACATATGGAAAAGGAATTTTTTCTTGAAATAAATTATCTTCGTTGAAGAATTCCTCCTACCACATAGGAATAAATATCTTTAGAAAGTCATTCTTTGCCATTTTCTGTCCAATAATTTGGAGAAAGATTTTGAGTATTTTTATGCCTGTTCTCCTCAGTAATGATCATCATTCTGCCAACGGGACACCTAACCTGCCTGGAGATCTAACTGTAGAAAAAAAATGCATAAAGACTCTAATTTTCAAGCTGAAATAAAGGAAATATTCATATTTTGCCTCAAATATTTCTAACGCAAATAACATGCTTTTCACAATATATTTCCCTCTTCAGTCATCAAAATTCACAGGCATTATGTAAGCTGCACTGTATTCCTTGCTGCACAATCAACTGATGGTTATACATCACAAGTGACACGATTAGAAAGCAATCACAAAGCAACAATTCCCACCTAACATGTTGCAACCACACAACAGAATCCTATCAAAATTCCCTATGGTACTACCAAGGCATATTTATTTACAGTGCTACCAATCTTCAGGATCTCTTTCTCCTCAGTTTCTGATGACCCACCAAAAGTCTCTGCTGATAAACCTATAAATGATAAATCAATGTTCCAGGGTACTTAAGAAGGCTCATTTTGAATTTAAAGCTAAATTTCCAGTAATACTGGCTTAGTAAATTTAAGCTGAGAACTCCCCAGTTTTCCATCGATATATTAATAAGAAAATTTCAGATGTGACAGGAGCTAAACTGAACTGGATTAACATTCACCTTTCAAACTATCAACCTTCAGGTTGGGGATTAAGTAACGAAGGGAATTAAGTTGTAAAGAGCAGGATTCAGTGGATTCCACATACCTGTTACCAGTGTAACAGCACTACTTAGTTCTCAAGGCACAAAAAAGCTCCAAGTCCTGTTCTTCCTAATTCTGAAACAGGATTCCTATCCTCACATGAAATGTTTAAAGATAATAATTTCTCTGTTAAATTGTCTTTAATGCAACAGCAACCAAAGGTAAACAGGAAAAATGGGCATTCTGCAACAACGATTTTAAAGCTAGAAAAAGGTGTAAAACTAATAAAGTACCTAACAGTGAAACCAACTCGCTGTACTTCCAGCCGAAACTGCGGGAGTGCAGATAACGCGTGTGCCTGCTGCCATCTCCTGGCACTGCAGAGGTAATACCGTCACAAACACTAACTTTTTCCTTTAGAAAAATGTCAGGTCTTCGAAGGAAGACCTTCCCCAAAAACCAAAAAAGATACCACTTTATGTTCTACAGAAGGAGCTTTCAAAAGTCTCAAAATCTGCAAGAATTTATTTCACTGTACAAGGCAGCCACTATCTGGACACAGCTACTTTCAAGCTAGATGGAGTTCTAACATTGGCTTAAGTACAGAAAGATCAAAGCTCTTTCATTTTATAAGAGAAATAAATACTTACCCGACTTATCTAATTTCAAAATAATTCAGAAAATTAACTGTAAAAATTTCCACATGGCATTCAAAACCTAAGAAAGTCGCTTTGGGAAGTCTACTCATCACATTAAAAATTATAGTGGAGATTACTGGCCCATATTGACTGATTAATTTTAATATCCATTTCTTTTCATAAATCCTTAAAGTTCAAGACAATCTTTCACTGTTGCATTGCTCTCATTGCCTTTGGTGAAGGGCACAGCATTGATATTTGTAATAATATTCCATGTTTTATGTTTTAAAAATAGGATTAGCCAACTTGAAAAGAGATTTTATTTTCACACCTGACAGGAGGCACCTGTACTTACCCTGCAAACTTTAGTCCTACAAAGACTGTTGAAACTTTCATTTCATAAGTTGTTTTGCTATTCTGGAGAGAAGAGACCTGTCCACATCCTCCTGAAGTTCAAAAGATGAACAAATAATGGGAATGAGCTCTACAAGTGGATTATGTCTCCTAGTGTGCTGAATGACTATGGGAATGTGACCTGGCTTGCCTTAAAAAAAAAAAAAAAAAAAAAAAAAGGCCTTCCAATGATTTGGATTCCCCACGGTTCAGTGACAATTGCCACAGGGAAACAATCACTGAATGTAGCAGAAAAGCCAAGCTAAATACAGAACATTTCCTCTCACAGAACGAGAATCAAAAAAACTGTGTTGCAACATCAAGCTGCAATTGAGAAACTGAATAGCAACTAAAGAGTTGTAAGAGACCTAAATTAAATCCAACTGGGATTTCACATTCCCTATGAAAATGAAGGTTTTATAATGAGATAATTAAAGCAATGATAGCCAACTCCTGCTGTGCCAGGAGTACAACTTAGCCTGTCCTCCTGGTTCGTGAGAGTCCCTCGGAGCTGGTCAGGAAGCAGCCCGTCACAAAGCAGCCACTCACCCTCAGCAGGATACCTGGCAGAGCTGCAGAACCCTCCTCCTGCTGGACATTCCCTAACCACAGACTGCAGGCACTGTCTAGGAGCGTGGTCAGGAACACCAAGAAGGACTTGTGTGCACGTCCCCATCACACCTGGCAAGGCCATGATGGCAGCTGCAGCTTACTTACAGCACAGAAGAAACAACAAATTTCCAAAGGTTGTGCAAAATGCACAAAATGCAAAGGTGTTGGAGAAGGGAGCACATCAGGGCAGAAACCGGTGCTAATCACGGCACAGAACCAGGGAGAGAAAAGTGACCCAAGACTCTGAAATGCCAGGTGCAGGAAGCTCAGAGTTCTAACAGAGCTCACCAACCACTCTCAGTTCCTGCCAGGTGAATCTTGTCAGCAGCAATGAAGTAGCAATTAAGTCTGTCACTGATAAGCATATGCACCTGTGTGTGTGTGTGCAAACCACCCAAACTGAAACACAGGGACATTAACTTGGTCAACCAAGAAACACCTGGATTCCTTTCTTCTGTCTGGTTTTAATAGTAGGACAGCTGGAGGAGAAATATGTTAAATATTAATCAAAAGCTCTACTATTCTTGCCTGGTCTCACGCTTTCGAGTTATTCTATTTATCACAAAAATGAGCAGCTGTCCAAAAGCAAAGTGGACAAGAAGCCAAGTGTAGAAAAAAACCCAGAGGGCTGAGAGCATTTGGGGGTAGATAAATAAGAGCACCATAGTACATAGGGTTTTAAGCAAAACAGCTGATATTCACAGCCATCCAACTTCTAAAAGTTAGGCTTTGGATGAAAAATGCTTCCATTATCACAGCCTTGGAAATAGACCACTCTTACTCAGAAAATATTTTATTCAGAAGACTTATGTATAACACAATAACTAGTGAACAAGATCCAGAATAAATTTCCTGTGGTTAAATTAAATTATTCAGACCCTTTCAGAACTTCAGCACATGACTTCAGGACTACACCGTTTGTTTTAATCACAGCAGCCTGAACCCTGAGGAAAACCATGCTTCCTCTTGGATCAAAACTGGAACCAAGACAAAGCCTAAGCTTCTGAGAAAAAGTGTTTTATTACAATAAAATAAGCAATCACACCATCAATTTACTCTCTTAGCATCTGGCCCACTGTACTGTGTGTACATGGTTTTTATCCTCAGGATAAATATTTCTGTTTTGAATGCAACTTCTTTCTAAGACTGTTCAATTTGTTTCTTTCAAGAGCAATATGGGTATCTAACACAAGTATATCTTAGATGATGATATCAGATGATGCTTTGGAAAAATCACATCCAGGGAATAATTTCATTTGCAGCCCTTCTGTGCCCAGCAAGCCCATTAATTTTCATTTTCCTACCTATAATTGATTTTACAATCTAATTAGCTGGCCACTTTGTTACTATCCCAGCAGACCATAACTTCCCCTCTTCATATCATTAACATACCTCAACATTTCTTTGTTCTGCTCAGTCTCTCTTACCTGTTAACCTCTGCCACAGCTTCCTGCAGGTGATGGCCACTGGTTGCAACATCTTCCTTGGTGTCCCTGTAGCAATAAGACTGAAGTTGTTTGACCAAGTAGCAAATTCTCTTCACCAAGGCAGCCCAACAACCCGAATGCTTCTTAACCTTTTTTTATTATTATTATTTCTGGAGTTATTATGGATTGAAGGAAAAATTGTTTATCCTGCTTTCCCACGTTGCCCCCACTTGTCTCTTCACAGTGCTTGCAAAACAGTATTTTATTTTGAAACACCTACTGCATGACTTACACCCTGAAAGCCACCAATAAATCATAAGGGAAGTATTTGTTCAATTCATACCGGAAAGTACCATTTTTAGGCTCGTAAGGTCGAATACACCTTGGCAAACGGTGAAACGTAATTCCCCACAGCATTCCCACGGCAGAGCTCCTCACTCGCTCCACCCCCGCTCCGCGCTCCCCTCAGCCCCGCCCACAGACGCAACGGCACCGGGAGCGGCCGGGCAGTTTAACAGGGAGAGAAAACCCTCCTTTTCCCGACAGGCAGCCGCGGAACCCCGCAGGCTGCCGCCCGTTTTGCACGGCTAAGGGGCCCGGGGAATGCCGATTCCCGGAGGGAAAGCCGGCGGGATCGCCTGAGGCGGCGCGCGCCCCCCTCAGCGCGGCCGCGCGCGCGGGAAGAGGCGGGGCCGGGCGGGGGCGGGGCCGGATTCGAACCGGGCGGCGGGGAAGCGGCGGCCATGGCGGCGCAGCAGCAGCAGCTCGGCCGGGAGCACCAGGGCATCACCCTCCGCGGCAGCGCCGAGCTCGTCGCCGAGTTCTTCTGTGAGGGGGCCGCGGGGGACCTCGGGGACCGCGCTGCGAGAGAGGGAGGGAGAGAAGGGTGGTGGGAGGGGAGGTGAGGGGGTGGGAGGCCGCGTCTTGTGGGACGACATGGCCGCCGGCTGGGGCTTGTGGGGGGGTGTGGTACACATCCCTTTCCCTCTCCGTCTAAATCGTGCAGCCTATGGAATCAACAGCATCCTGTACCAGCGGGGCATCTACCCCCCCGAGACCTTCACCCGCGTGCAGAAGTACGGGCTCACCCTGCTGGTCACCACGGACCCCGAGCTGGCCAACTACCTCAACAACGTGACGGAGCAGATGAAAGGTGCGGGCCGGCGGCGGGGCCCTCCCGGCCGTGTCCCTGCCCTGCTTCTCGCGCTCTAAGCGACTGCCCTGCTTCTTGCAGAGTGGCTGTACAAGTGCATCGTGCAGCGCCTGGTGGTGGTCATCTCCAGCATCGAGAGCAGCGAGGTCCTGGAGCGGTGGCAGTTTGACATCGAGTGTGACAAAACTGCAAAGGATGACAAGTGAGTAGCTCCACTCCCATGCTTCCCTATCCCGCGTATCGGGGCAGGCACAGGATCAATGCCATGGACTTGGATCAATGCCATGGACTTGTTCCTTCAAACATTTCTCAGTGCCCTGCCCTCTTGTTTGTCTGCAAACCAGTCATTATATGACTGAACACACAAACAACAATAAAGGGAGAGCAGCTATCGCTTAACTTTTCTAAGGACTTAAAAGTGTCACTACAATCTAAAAATACTGTAGCAAACAGACTACCAGAGCTTAAAGAGAACTGTATTTAGAGGAAATTGTCAGCACAGTAGAAGTTTCTTCTCTTACCACAGTTTTCTTATTTTTCCAGTGGACCACGGGAGAAATCTCAGAAGGCAATTCAGGATGAAATTCGCTCTGTCATCAGACAAATAACTGCCACAGTAACCTTCCTGCCACTCTTGGAATCTGCCTGTGAGTATCCCAAACTGCACTAAAGAAATAAAATGCTTTTGAAAAACCTCAGTAACTTTCCAGCTTTGGAAAATATTTTCTGGTTTTCTGAGGCTTTTTGATTATTACACATCGTGTACCATCAGGTTTGTGAGATATTACGTTGAGGGACTCAGATCAGAACAGAACTTGGGGTGGCTTAACAAATTTGAAGAAATTAAGTATGTATGCCCTGAGGAATGCAAGTTTTCATGAATAATGTGTTCATATGAAGTGCTATACAGAGCTCAGCTCCACAGCATTGTAACATGCTTAAAAAAAAAAAATTACTACACAACTTAGTTTTTGAGAAAACTAAAATGGCCTAACATGAATAGAACTTATTTTAACTATTGCTTTTTTTCATATAACTAGTATCAGTGTAACTTCTGAAAAGCTTGGTCCTTGTCTCAAGTTCTAGAAGATGCTCTTCAAACCTGCCATCTCCTTATGGTGAATTTGTTCTCCCTTGCTCCCAGGTGCCTTTGACTTGCTGATATACACAGATAAAGATTTGGCAGTGCCAGAAAAGTGGGAAGAGTCAGGACCACAGTTCATAGCCAATTCAGAGGAGGTTCGGCTGCGTTCCTTCACTACCACAATCCACAAAGTCAACACCACGGTGGCTTACAAGAAGGATTCTGTTCCCTAAGATGCAGGGGCAAGCTTTGTGTGTGTAAATACGCTGTCACCTTGTATAGTTTCTGTTCATCATGCAGCTAATCTGTGAGCACATCATTACTGTCCTCTTGATAAAGCAGGACACAAAGACAATGTGCCTGTGATTATGTGACACTAGACTAAGCTAGCATAATTTTAAAACAGATTTAGAAAAGGTATTCATGGTCATAGTTCAATTCTTACTTTACTGTATGAGCTAAACTAATAGTGTTAAACCACTGCCTCTGCTAGAAAAACTGCCTAAATCTGGGATTAGCTGCTAGATTTGTGTTCAGATCCTGTAATTTTATATTTTAGAATTATTTTTAAACTCCATTCTGTTAGCAGTCTTAAAAGTCTCTGTAGCAATTAAAATAATCTCATTCCTAGTGTGCCAGTTTTCATGTTAGAAGCCTGGGCTGTTTTATTACCAGAAATAACCCTAAAACGAATCAACCAAACAATTCTTGTACTGCTCTACAATGGAAGCAGCTGTTTATCAGGAAAACTTTAAATACATGAAGCCCTCTATTTTAATGACCACTGGGCTCTAGTTCTGGGGACAGAGTTGCTCTGTGTACGTCTGTAGTGTCTGTCCAGCATTTTCTATGTTTCTATTGTTTTACAGAATAAAGCTTTGAGTTTTATAGTGTTCTCTAATTCAGAGTCTGCACTCCTTCGTGTTTCCGATGGTTTTATGAATGCTACATCCTAGTTTATAACTGTCACACATGTAACATCCAAAAGGCATCCTCCTCCTCTGGTTACTTAAATGTTTCCTTCCTGAGTCTCCAAGTGGTGTGGAGTCCGCAGGAAGTCCATTCATGGATTAATAGTTTGCTCCCACCTAAGTCTTCAAATAGGAGTTTAAATAGTCACAGTGAACCAATGGCAGTGCCTTCCACGGTTGTTGAACAGCACTGGACTCTTCATGTGTCCTTAGCCATTTCTGTAGTTCAAGAAATTAGGGATTTAAATCTCCAGCACTTTCAGACTCTTCCATGGTTTTCTTCATTTCCTTCACTAAATTCATTCCAGCCAGAGTGTTTAACTGGTTTTTCCACTCTTTTACAGTTATGTAGGACCTTCTGTTATAATAATATAATTTCAAAAGTTTATTTTAAAAACATCAATTACATATACCTCACCCCATGACTGTATTACAACCTTTTTGGGCTTTCCTGTTTCCAGGATATCATTCTCCCTAGCAGTCCCAATCCAGCAGAAGTAAAAAAAACAACAACCAACAAGAAAGGCTTGCCAAAAAAATGTGTCTTTAAGGAGCACAAAACCCTTAATTTTTTTAAATAAATACAATCTAGGTACTTAAAAAGTGACATTATTCACTGCTAGGGCTTGTGCTCCAGTAACACAGGAAGACCTTGGTATTTTCTTCTGCCTATTAGCACAATTTTGACTCCACTACCCCTTCACCCCCACAAGCAGGTGCATGTCAAAGAGTGAAGTCTGCAGTAGTGAGCATAAAAACCACTTCTTTTACAGAGATGCAAAAGTGAAATTGCTCCAAGAAGCTCATTCTTGTACCAAACAGAATTTATCTTCTTTAAGAAGGGCCAGCCCAAAGTCCATCTCCATCATCATCTCTGTATTTCTTCTTTTATAGAGGCACCAGCAGTCAAGAGAAGTTGCATACAGATAGATCACTGCATGTAGATAGTGTCCATGAAAGGTACATGTGAAAAGGGACGGGTCATAGATCCTGAAGTTTTCACAAAAACCCTGCAGAATAGGGAAGAAAATAAACAAGAAAGTCATTTTATCTCCCAGGAACCAAGCCTTCATGGAGGTATCCAACAGCATGTGCTGACACCTAATGGGCCCCACACTCTTGATTAATCGTTTCCTTTGAGGTCACTTTTGCAGTGACCATCAAAACCAAGGGAGCATCCCCTTCATCTTCAATGGCAGGCTGGCTGTCCTTAGAACAGAGAATGGAGGATAAGCCTCAGAAGCAGCCCAGCAGGCAGTGCTCACCTGACTAGTTGAGCTGCCGGATGAGCTGGTTGATTGCATCACCTCTGTAGCCAGGCTTGCCCATCTCCTTGAGGAAACCCACTCTGTTCCGCGACGCGTGGCGAGCCACCGACAGATGGAACGGCCACAGGAAGCGGGTTACTCTTTTGAAATACTTCCCAGTTGAGTAGATTTCATGAATAAGGTCTTCCAGACAAATGATACCACAGCCCCCTGCATGAGAAAAGAAAAAGAGATGTCCAGCTGTATCATCTTCCCCCACACTGCTCCAGAATTGCCAGTTCTCCAGTTTGGCAAGATTTTGTCTCTCCCCACCCTTTCAGGTCAGACTAAACTCTCAACACCTAACTCTTTCCTCAATTTTCTCACCCTCTTCCTTCCTCACCTAAATGTTCCTCTATCAGCACGTTGTCTGTCAGAGGCACCCTCTTTTTCTTGATCTTGGCTTGGCCCCGTTTCAGGATGAGCTCTCGTACAGATTTCAGGTTAGGCTGTCTGTGCAGAAACAAAAATCAGATTCTGTAACAGCGAGACATGATGCAGAGGGAAGCCCATCCCACTTCCGTGTGCAGAGGTGGGAAAGTAACCAAATTATGTCAAGAAGAACAATGAGAACACAGACAATAACAAGTTTTCGATATCAAGTTGATTAAGTTTTGACCATTCCTGGAGAAGTAAGGGATGTGTGACAGCAGCTGGAGAATCCAATGACCCCCAAGTGATGGGAGGGGTACGTACCCCCACGCCACGTAAGGCTCCACGATCCGCAGCATCTTCAGCGACAGCGGGCTCAGCTTCACAAACACGCCGGTGTAATTCTTCCTCAGCCGCAGCAACTCAATCACTCTTTTCACCCTCTTAGTCACTCCCTTAATACTGAGGAAAACAGAATTTATTAATAACCACATTTCTCTAGCACAGCAACAGAAAGCCCCAGATCACCTGCAAGGTGACGCAAGGTGATGTCTGGGTTGATCCCACTGCCTTGGCGTGGAAATGACACAACAAAGGGCAGCAACAACAAGGGAAGGAGTGGGGGAAGGCTCTCACTCCACAATCCTCACGACGAAGGCCAGTTTGCTCTCCTGAGGCGCCGCTGCCTGCCCAGGCCTCTGCTCCATGCGCCTCAGCCGGGTGTCATCCCGGCGTTTGCGCCACGAATCCCGAACAAAGGTCTCCAGGCGCCTGAACTGGATCTGCTTCCCCTTCTGCTGCTGCAGACAAAAGGAAAACAAAGTGAGGTTTACATCTGAAAGGCCAAATGAAATGCAGAAGTAGTGAACAATGTCCTTACAGCTTTGGAAGCAGTAAGAAAATAAATTTGATTATCTAAGCCCAAGGGAGGCAGAACTGAGGGACAACACATGAGTTTACACACAACTATTATTTATGAACAGTGAACAAAGAGCTTTTCCGCAGGAAAAATATAAATCAGGTTAAAGACTTGGGATACTTCTAGGCATAGCTACACACACAGCTCAGCAATGGCTGGGAAAGCCAGAAACAACGTGTGGGCAAAACAGATGCTACAGCAATACCCTAGTGTGACTCAAAATTACCCTCCGAGAGAATGCAACTGCATTTCAAGTCAGTTTCTATACTGGCACACAGGCAAGAAAAATCTCAAACATTCATTAAGTATTGCTAATTTAAACAGAACATCCAGCTCACCTGATAAAAAGTCTTTCCATTACTATTAGAAAATGTAAAGCTCCTCTTTAGAATTAAACAGATGTTTAAATGTCTCTCTTTAGCTTAGGAATGAGTACATCCACCTAAGTCATAGTATTTTCTCATACAAATAGGACTTGCAAATGCAAAGCATTACACAATTATATTTAAGATACTCTACTGGTTAAATTAGCAGGCCACTTTAAATTAAAGAATCTAACGTTGTGTGTCTTCTGTTCTATCTCACCTTGTAAATCACCCATGAAATGTGTTTGAATTTTCAAAGCAGGCAAACCTAATCAAAGTCTTATCACTAAGGTCCTTTTTGTAATGAGAATCTTAAGGAGTAGCTATTTAATATTATTGCTTATGCTCCCACCTTGGAAATACAGCAAGCCACTGATGCTTTTAAAAATGTAAACATGGTATCAAACAAAAATGGCAGGAGTTTTGCACACAATCCCACAAGATTCACTGGGAAAGCTTTAAGACAGACACCTACTGTATTACCTGGGGTACAGCAGAACAAGTCTCAGATTTGGAATTAGAAAGGTTTGCTGTGCTCTGCCAGTCTGGAAATGGCACAGTGTACACAGGGAGTGTCTGCACTAGGACATGTGCCACCTCACACACGCAGAAAAGGCTTCACCATGACCTGTGCTGCCCTAACAGAGAAATAACTCTAAATGCCCCCTCAGAAAAGCACGGCTTCCACGCAAGGTTTCAACACAAGGGTGGTTTCAGACAGTGAAATCCCAGGGCAGCAGAGACAACCCAGCAGCGCTGCAGTTTCCCACATGTGGCTGCAAACACCGATCCAACAGGAACAACTCACAGTCTTCCATTTATTTGTTTTGGTGTAATAACCTGTACAATTCTGTCCTCTTTACAAGGCTCAGAGACACGGAGCTGTTGAGGGATTCAAGCCCCAGTCGGAAGCCCAAAGACGACCCCTAGCACCCCTCTCTGAGGGGCCCGACCATTCATTTCCCAGAAATTTCAAGGAACTGTGGTTCCCTGCTGCGCAGAACGAGCTGGGGCTGCAGCACCAGGCTCTGCCGGGACCCGCCGTACCTTGCGTTTGTTGAGCAGCGCCTGCTTGGCCTGGGTGGCCTTGATGGCCAGGTACGCCTTCCTCTTCTTCAGCAAATTCTCCGGCACCAGCGGGATCCGCCGCCTCGGCCTGCGGGCGGGACAGCCCGGTCACATCCCAGCCCATTCCCGCATCCCGACCCCTGCCGGGCCACCCCCGCGGCCGCCCCCAGGCCGCGGATGGCGGCAGATCCCACATTCCCTCCCTCGCTGCCCCACTTACTCCTCCAGCTCCGCCATATTGCCGTGTCGCCACTGCGCATGCGCGGGATGGGGCGGGGCATGGCCGCTCCCCCTCAGGCGCCGTTCGCCTGCCCGGTGATCATGGAGCGCCGGGAAGGGCTTGGCACCGGGGGGAGGGAAGCGCTGCTGGCCGGCCCTGCACTCGCCCAGGGGCTTCCACACGCGGCGAGCCTGGGACAGGAGGGGCCGCGGGGACACGGGGTGTGACAGCCGCGTCACCCGCAGGTGGTGCCAGAGCTTCACGCTCGGCTGGATGGTGTTGGGGTTGTTCCTGGTGAGCCGTGCGGGATGGAAAGGGATGTGTGACTTTACGCTCTGATACCGTTCTCATTTACACTGACCGCAGTGTCCTCTCACCGCTGAGCAGCTCCAGCCTTGCTGGGAGGTTCGGTGCTGCCAGGGTTTCGCTGCTCACCTCGGCGGTGCTGCAAACCTCTACAGCACTCTACATGAGCCCACTTCTGCCTTGACACCTAAAACATGAAAATCTCTATTTAGGAACTCGATCCCAAATGCCAGGAAGAACGAGCCCTCAGTGAGCAAACCCATTTCCCCAGTTTTTGGATATGAGACACAAAGCAACAAGCTTACGAAATAAATAATCTGAAACTTTTCCCGTAACTACACAAATTTCACCCTGACGTATAAATAGAGCTGGAATCCCTGGTAGCTCACACCAGAGAAAGTGGCCTATTTAAATGTACAGATGAACGTGCTTTGTGTGACAGGAGGGAAATGCAAACAGCCTCTCGGTATTCCATCATTAATGGCCAGGAAACAATAAGTCAGTAAATATTTGAAGCGCTGTTGCTATGAAAAATCTCCCAGAACAGCAGCATTCCGAGGCTGACTCGCTAAACTTTAACCAGTGGTTATATTGTTTTAATGAATGGATAGTCAAATGCCCCTGTTTGCAGGGATACCCAGGAAAAGTGTTCCCACTTTCCTAGACAGCAACCTGTTGCACACTGGCCTTCAGCACTCTGAACTTCTGCACACAAAACTTTTAGGGCTCCAATTCCAAAAGCCAAGTCAGGAGATGAGGTGGGATGTCAGAGGTCCATGAAACTTCTTGACTTATTTTCTCATTCCATGGGTATAAAACCCCATTAAATTAATTTCAAATCCCACAAAATCTTTATTGATGCTGTGTGCAGTCTCAAAACAGCAAAAGGGCTTGAGGTCCCATCACTCTCATCATTGAACTATGCCCCAGTCTGAAATGTGCCTGTAATAAATTCT